AACGCATGGTTTACGTCACGTCCGGTAAAATGGCGCCGCCCACAGTGTTGATGTTATTTCGGTAATTAATCAGTTTAAAATCACTGATAATGTCATCGGATTAAAAAAAAAAAAAGAGAGACTGGCAGAGACTGGTCTGTTTTATCGGATGATAATTATTTAAAAATGAGTGTCATGAGCATACCATTCCTTTAATAAGCACCGTAACTTTCATGATATAATTTCTCGGTCATAATCGGTTGTTTCTGTGAACGGCCGACTGTTGTGATGGCAAATGCTGCGGCTGCAATGCATTGTGGGGCAGCATTTTCTCCTCTCCTTTCGGTTAGGGAGGTCCAGTGGTTCCTAAGCTAAAGGAGGTTATAAAGGAAGTTTGAAACCTCCTTTCCTTTCATTTGGAGAATTGGAACGGCACTTATCATGGCTGCCAGTGACATACTTCCGGGTCATTTCACTCCGTTAGGAAGGTTCCTAAGCTAAATGGACTATTGGAATGCAACCCTGGATATAGCGTGGGAGGCGGGGCCTCATTCATTCCTATGAGAGTTGCTCATTAGCGCATGATGACAAAATGGCCCAACTTTTGACAGAGCGAAACGTCACAGATTACCCGGCATGCCTGAGAAGTACCTGTATGTGCACTCATAGAGCATGCGCAACTTTAACCACGTCCCCCAAAAGGCTCGTTCACATTAAGCACGTGAATTTGCGTACACGTAACAGCACCGCGCGTTCATGACAGCATGGTACTGGATTTATATTAACGAGGCGGCAGTTAGCAGCTAGCGGCTAGCTAGTAAATTATGCTAAATTACACATCAATCGTTATGTACTTTTATATTACGCTGACATCAGGATCTAGTGATATCCAAGCAACAGAGCTTCATTTAGCATGATACTTGTGTGGGTTGTACATGAAACCACTTGGTAATATATACAAATGTATATGATGAAGCCTGTTATGATCAATTGTGAGTTAAAACTTTATCTAAAAAGTAAAGCTGATGATGGATTACTGTGGTGGAGTTAAAATAACAATAGCCTATTTCTTTTTGAAATGTGATGGAGTAAAAGGATAGTAACTGTGATTATTCATGTTAAGTAGCCCACAAGTAACTAAAACAATTGCAAGTGCAATAAGAAGCTTCAGGAACGTTAATCTACGTCGGTAATATTAACTTTATTTAATACAACATTTACGGTACAAGATTTACATCATACAGCCCATGTAGTATAATATTTTACAAATGATGAATTACAGCAAACATGTGCAATATATCCATTATTACAGCTCTGTGGGATGGCAGTAAGGCGATATGGTCCGTTGTTATTGTGCATCCATGGGTAAAGAGAAACGTATGTAGTACTGAACACGTAACATGAACGTGCCGGGCGGCGCGGTCTCGTGGGTTAGATGCGCGTTCATAATGCCGAGGGAAATAACTCTCAGAATAACGTTATTAGCACATTTTTACAACTTGAGGAACGAATGTTTTTAATAAGGGCTATACAAACGTTCATACTGGGTAGTTTATTTAGTTTAAAAAAAATTATCCAACGAGTTACAGACCACTCTTTCCCCATGTAAGTCAATGGGGAAAAGTGTTTCCGGGCCCAGCAACCTAAAGGAAGTGTAGTACCGCCGTTTGACCAGCACGAATATCCTCATCAGACTCCGGCGCACTTCCTGGGGGCTTGATTTAACATACATTTAAACAGTCCTTCGGCGCCACTCGATGTCGTACACTTCAAATAATTGCTCTGCAGCAGTTTTACTTGCGATTGAGAAACGGCCGGTGTCTCCCTCTCACTCCTCTGGGCACTGCACTCTCTCCGGGCCATCCAGCGTCCTCATTTTTGTTTATAAAAATAAACGTCTTTATTATTCACAACCCTCGTCTCGCCTCCCAGCTTCATGTTGCAGCCCACGAGCCGGGTTGTAACAGAAGCCATGTGAACACTTCAGAATATCCATCCTGCTTTCAATTAGAATGACTCATTAGGAATAACTTAATATTGTTTTGAGTGATGGGGCAGGAAAGGTTAAATCCTTGCGTCTGATTGGTTCATTTTTAACCATGTGATCAATGAGGAGCTCAACTGTTCCTCCTACACATTGCGTCTTATCTTTCACCGATAGTGAGGAGCTGGGTCACTTTCAAGAATAATACAGATATTAGCTGATTTAAAAAAAAGTAATTCTTTATTATACAAAAACACCAACACATGTCAAGTTTACAATACAGGAAAAGACCATTTTGAAATAAATCATCCTGTAATAAACCATGTGAATCTGAAGCAAAGAGTACTTCGTTAACATAGGGTCAAAGGAAAAATGATCTGGATTGTGTTTCAAAGTCCATAAAGAATGAAGGGTACACAATACAAATCCACATGGCCAACATCTGCCAGTTAACTTTTCAAAAGTATTATCAGTAATTTCATAAAACAGAACTTAATGCAAACCCTTCCCACCCTTCTGTGTGAGTATAAAGGCCGTGTTTGTAACTGTTGAATCTGGACTTTTTCCATGGTTTCCCAAAATGCCAAAGACATCTCGCCTGTCATCAGTGGTATCCCTCCATGCAGAGAGTGAATTTTATTGTTCCAGGTTTTGAGATATCTTTGCCTCCATCACAATCCAATGAATGAAAACGTAGATATCAGTTTCACAGCTTCTGAAAGTTCAGTTAAAGACTCCTTTAACCTCCTATTGCCTCCATAGGGGGAGTGGAGAAGAAGAACACACCATTTTAAGGAACAGTTTACTATTTTGGGAAACACAGAGTTGGAGTCCAGACCTGGTTAGCTTAGGACAGCCCATAATGCCTCGTAAATCCCCAGACGTATTGGTTATTTGTCCCTATAGAGATGTATTGTCAACCTAAGATCTAGGGAGTGGATACCTTCGAGCTAAATGGGATTTCTGTGTAGTTTGGGTGAACTGATCTTTATCACAGCCTTTAAATTTCCAACATGAATAAAACAAATACACAGACCTAAAAATAAACTTAATTAGCCTCATCATCATCATCATCTGTATTTCACTTCCAGATACTAACAGTGTTGTTTCTATATGTCAGTATTTGTTCACAAGTGGAGAGCAGGTCCCTGAGATTGAGCTCCTGATGGCTTGCAGTCCACATGCACAGCAAGCCATCCTGATAAAGTAGGAGTGTAGAGTTCAGTAGCTGCCCTGTTTACTGCATGATGTGAGAAAGTGGCCTATATGTAGTAGGTGTTGAGTGAAGGTAATGTTCAATCCATCCATCCCTGTCCAACAACACAGCATCATCAGCATATAATACAATCTGAACAGATGTAGCTCAGAACATTTACAGAGTGACTGAAGAGAAGAAGATCCGGCGGTATTAACCTAACTTTTTGGGATGTTTTGCAACAAAACGCTATTATCCACATTAAGTCGAACTCCAAAAAAACGTCTCACAATGATTCGTGAGAAAATTTGCTCTGTACTTAGACAGATGGTATAGAGTGGCGAAATCACGCCCATCTACTTCCGGTCCATGGGACCTTATTTCGGAAAAATTATGCATTGAAGTCAAAGAAGAGAGAAAACTTATCTTTCGATCCCGTTTGAATTGTGCCATGAATTACACATATGATGTTTGTCAATCTTAAAAAAATCATTTCCATGTAAAAAAGTCAGTTTGTCGTAAAACTGTTGAAATATAAAACTATGAAAAATACGCAACTAGAAAGACTACAAATCCCAGTGTCGCGTAAGTGATGTCATAACTGTTTTCCTCCACTAAGAGATAGATTCTATCTATATGGCGCTGATCTTAGCTATCTATATGGCGCTGGCTAAGATAAGATAACTTTAACAAGATGCCTGTGTGCTTAGTACCAGGTTGTTATCATACCAGCAATGGGTCTTGCTCGTTCTTTCGCTTCCCGTCTGATCAAGTTAGCTACTTAGCTAGCACGTTAGTTAGCATTACAGCCTTGTCATTTTTATTAGCCTTAATATGAAGTAACCCAACATGTTAAACAGTAAGAGTAGTAGTCATATTTCGTGAACCTTTTTGAAGAGTACCGTCACCGGTGTGATCATTATATAATACACAATTTAAGCCCGGGGGAGAAATGCTAACTCTAGCATCGGCGATCGCCGATATTTTCTACGTCATGCTATCTGCACAAATGGTTGACATTAAACATTAAAAAGACCAGGCAGTTCAGAGAGAATCAAAGAAAGGCAGGCAGGCAGCTTTGCATGACATTCTTCTGGACGTGTTTCATTGTGGTGATAGTGAGGTTAGTCAATCCTTTTGTTGACAAGACAGTAGTGACGGCCATCTTGGTGACGTGTGTTGTTCTGCGAGACCAGAGTTGTAGTTCATTGAGCGTTTCACACAAACAAATGTGTTACGACACTTTCTTTTTTTTGACTTGCAAAATTATCTTTTAAATTGACAAACATCACATTTCTTTCAGAATGAAGTGAAAAGTATTAAAATAGATGAAACCCACTACAAGTCTGGCCATGTTGAGAACTGTACATACACAAAAGGGGAGTTAGTCGGTTCCGTAAGAGCCAGCATGCGGGACCGGCTTTCCAAGGTTTTGGTGAGTAACACGAGTGTAATGTGTAACGTTGATGTACGCGACTCTGGGATTTGTAGTCTTTCTAGTTGCGTATTTTTCATAGTCTTATATTTCAACAGTGTTAAGACAAACTGTGACTTTTTTGACATGGAAATTATTTTTTACGATTGACAAACATCATATGTGTAATTCATGGCACAATTCAAACGGGATCGAAAGATAAGTTTTCTCTCTCCATTGACTTCAATACATCATTTTTCAGAAATAAGGTCCCATGGGGCGGAAGTAGATGGGCGTGACTTCGCCACTCTATTGATATCCATCTGATCATTTCAATCTCCGTAAGAAGGCAAACGAGTGTATTTGCCTAATTTTGGATCGGCAAAATTATTTTAGCAACTGGGCTGGGATGGATTTGGGAGGCAGAGTGGAAACCAACTGGAACCATTTATTGAGTATCTGAACTACATTTACAACTTTGTTTACCTAATTAAATTATTATTGCTCTGACTAAATTACAAAGGAACATTTTACATTGAAGGCTGCTCTGTAACAACTGGTAGAACCGATAAAAAAAACATTTGAATAACCGACCTGCCTTTTATGTTTACAGTCAGCAGTCTGTTCAGCAGTCCATAAGTATTTTTCATCCTGCTTCTAACAATTCTTTCACCAGCATGGATGTTTGAAACAAGTTGAGCAACGAGTCCAAGCTCTCCTTCCATCCGGCCCGCCTCTGTTCCATGTTGAGGCACAGTGCAGATCAACCAGGTCACGTCAGCATGTCTTTTGTAAGTCAACAAATTGGTATAAATGAAGATTTCAATGTTCTAAACATTTCCAATAATTACAGATATTTATCTATCTGCCGGAGAAAAAAAAAACTACAGAGCTGAGTGTGTTATTCACATAAATAAGAAAATAAGGATGGCCAAAAGACTAGATGTTCAGTTCATAATGATGAAAAAAAACTACCAAATATTCCCCAGGTTACACTACAACTAATGACTTTCTTTACTGTTAAAGGATGGCCAGTTCCACTGATTGGAAAACATATAATGGCACAGAGCTGAAGTCAATGAGTGGTGGGGGGGAAAAGTGACACAGAAAGCTAGCCAGAGGGAGACAGGGTTTTCCTAAGGATGCGACCAACTGTGATCAAAACAACTGGACTGAACCAAGGCTAAACCACTGGTAAATGTATAACCAAACCAAAGCTAAAACGCTGGGGACATTTGGTAGAAAACCAATGCAAAAAACTCAGTTTGAAATGTGAGCATGTGAGGTTAAAGAGCACATGAGAATATTTCCTAAAGTCTAATAAATGAACTGCATGTACAGCTCTGGAAAAAACAACAAGATACCACTGCAGCATTATCAACACCTCTGGTTTTACTTTGTATAGCTATGTGTTTGAGTACAATTATTTAGTTTTTCTTTTGTTCTATAAACTACTGACCACATTTATCTGTGTTGGACTTCAACGGACACTAGACTGGAATGGCTGCCATACATGTAGAGATTGAGTGGTTTCTTAATTTCTTCCACTGCTGTATACGGATCTTCCAGTCTCTGGGACCACTCAAAGCGCTTTTACAACACGTCAGCACCCATTTACACACATTCATACAGAGGCAGAGGGCTGCCATCCAAGGTGCCACCTGCTCATCAGGAGTGATACATATTCATGCACACAAACTCACACACTGTTGGCCATGCCATCGTTGGCAATATGGGGCTCATTATCTTGCCAGATGACACTTCAACATATTGTTTGCAGGCGGGGGGGCGGGTGATCACTGCCTCCTGAACGGACCAAGAGATGAGTACTTGGTCAAGAGAGATAGCAATACACTGACTCACAATGTTCTCTTTGGCCATCAAATTATTTATCATCCTGTGTGCAAAACCCTTTTGAAGAACCCCAACGGCAAAAAGAAACATGCCTGGATACCGTTTTTTACACCGTTAAAATGCTCAGTTCATCAAAGTACTCATGTATACCAATTAGGAAAATTCGACATGGCATGTTCACGTAGTGCACACTGAGAAGGCCACAGAAAACAGGCCTGGAGCGGTCCAGTAAGACGTGGCTCAGTCTAGTGAAATTATATCTGAAATGCCGCTGTCAGCCCCCCCTCCGGCGCCCCCCCCCTCCTCCAGTGATGACCCGGGTCTCGTGGAGGGAGCTGGCAGCGTGGGAGCTGGTGTCGTAGTGGCTGCTGGAGGAGGACACCAGGGCGGAGGAGGTGCTGGCTGCACTCTGCATGCTGCTGGCCAGGTTGTCCAGGAACATCTGCGGCCGATAATGCTGACGGGAAGAAACAGTAATCATTTATTAAAGTCCACTCAAAGAATATTTAAACTGCTAAGATACAATTCCAACTTCACCCTCTTTTTTGTATCCACCTGAGCCGAGTCAGGCTTACTCACTGGATTGCTAACGACACATCTTTTTAGATTAACTTTTTATTAGAGATACCACATTTTTAATTGGTCTTTTAATCTTTACTGTTCATTTATTTGTATATAGTTTTAATTATTGTACATTTTTACTTGTAAGGTAAGGTTTATTATTCCTATTATTGATTTCGTTTTTATTCTTATTATCTAATTGGAGTTATCATTTTTATGTTGTTTTTATTTTGATATCGTATTTTCTGGTTTTGTCCTCCTTTATTTTACTGAGAGGAGAATATTATGAAAATGTAGAAAATGGAAGTAGTCGTTTTTGAATATGAATCAACTAGCTTGTGTGAAATAAAATGGAAGTCAGGTTGCTACAGCTGTTATATTGATATGTCAGATATATCTAATAGGGACATAGGCGTTGAATATGGTGAAGGAAACTGAATGGCAAAGTCAACATTTTAAAAAGGAAAGACAGTGAAATGTGAAGTGCAGTTTTATACTAGGGGTCAATATAATATTTATTTTATAAAATATATAAGTTTATTTGGATGCTTAAGTACAATATCTGAGTACTTCTTCCACCTCTGTAGAGAATGTGATCACAGTAGAAAACTCACCTGAGGATCTGCTTGGATTAAGGAAAACAGATCCAGACCTGTAGGAGAGAGAGAGCAGGTTAACAGTGGGCAGTGGGGATATGTCAGCAGGTCAGTGTCCCTTCACCCCGACTCACTCTGCATGTCAGTGGGGATGGAGGCCAGGGTGGAGGGGTGGAAGGGGACTGCATAGTCAGCCAGTGTGGAGCTCAGGTAGGACGGGTCCAGGGACTGGACATTTGGCACACGCACAGTGGGCTGGTAGGTCAACACTCTGAGAGGAAACAAGCATTACTGTGACTGTGTGTCCGACATTTTGTTATTCTCATTTCGATTTTAGGGTATATTTTCAAAGACATACTTAACAGGAAAGACAGCAGTTTGATACAAGGACAATGCTCACACACATAAAGAGAGGTATGCCAGAGCTATGAGTTTCTTTTATGTTTAGAAATGATGCCATTGGGCGTTGTGCCCAGCAAGCATGTAGCTGGACTCGAGGCTACTTCCGTATTCAGGATCTCAAAGAGTGCGTCTCCAATAGTGACTGTAGGAGCCATGAAACGTGTATAGTAATGCGTTTTGTTTTAATATAAGATATTTGTTTGATCACTTGATTGGTTGGCTTGGGTCACATGGATATGGGCGGCACTCATAATCCGGTTCACCTGCGTGAGGTGTGTGTGGAAGAGAGGGTGACACAGGGCCGTTGTACTTTTTGTTGACCGCAAGTTTAATGATTGCTTTGATTACTATAACAATGTACATGTCCAAGGAGAATAAGTTGATTATCCCAGATTTCATTAAACCACATTCTTTTTCAACAGTTTTTGATCTCAGCAAGTACTTTTTTGTAGCGTGCCACACAATATCAAACAGGCCCGGCCTCAGCCTCTCAGCGACTTTAGGCGCTTTCACACCGCAGTACTTCACCCACTTTAGTTCCGATATAGTTCCGAAATGTTGCGTTCACACCAAAAAAATCCGGAACTAAAATTAGTTCATGAGAACCTTTTTACCCCCTTTTCCGTCCCTGCTATACCTCATTCACACCAACGCAACTCCGGTTCAAGCTCCGTGCTAGAGCTTTTCAGGTTCAGAACCGGTTCTTCGGTTTAGCTCCGGCTCTTTTCACACCGCCCAGAGTCCGACTGGTGCTGCGTCATTGCGTCATCGTTGCGTCATGACGTAACCGTTTGCGTGCCTGCTTCATAAAGCCAAACCGCGTGGAAACCCCTCACAGCTCACACCGACAACAACAACCATGGCCGATTGTGCTCCAGCTTCCTCTGTACCTCTTCGGAAGACCAGATTCCCAGTAGGTAGCTGGTCTCTTCAGTGGACCACTGCTGCTTGTTAAGTTTCTCCATCGTTGTGTACAAACTGGATAAAATGCAGGCTTTTTGTTGTTGTTCAGGAGTTGATCCCGCCCCTGCCAGTGCTTTTGCTCCAGCCGGACAATTTTTTGGTGCTTGAACCGAACCGGATTCCGGAGCTAAGAGGCTGCTCCGCTGCGGTGTGAAGAGGAAAACCCGGTGCTTTTCAAGCTCCAGCTCCGAACCGGCTCTGAAACACTGTTGGTGTGAATGAGGTATTAGAGAGCAGGGACTTTCGTGGGAGAAAAAGGTTCCTATGTCTGATTGGCTGGGCGGATTGCAAACCACGCCCCGTAAAACTCCCAAAAAGTTTTGTGAAGCCGCCATCTTATTATCCTCGCATTAGCATTAGCCCAGCGCACAAACGCAGAGAGACAAACTTATGGCAACACAAAAGAAAACATGGGAGCAGTGGAGATGAGGAGGTGTCGAACTAAAGAGTTCTCATGAACTAAGTACAGATGAACCTTTGTGGGAAAAGTACTGTGGTGTGAAAGCGCCTTTTGTTTGTTTCCTGCTGTCGTTATAGTGACTAATGTATTGTAAATATTGTGGACCACTACGACAAATACTGTGTCTTCCCCTTGGCCCATGCATCAAATGTCAGCTAAATGTAATGTGATACTTGCAGATTTGGTCCAGGCATGTCTGTTTATGGTTCTAGAAAAGGACAAAGGCAGGCTTGCTCACCCCTTCGGATGCATCTCCTCAGTCTTGGAAATGTAAATGCAGCGTTTCTTCAGGGGAGGGTCCGAGTCCTCTTCATCAGAGGAAGAGGAGGACGAGCTTTCCAGAGTCAGATCGATCACATCTGCCTTCTTGGTGGTGATGGGCTCAGTGGAGTGGGGGACCGCTGCAGACTGGCGCGAAGGAGCTGACACTAAAAGGTTCAGACCAACATAGATTTGTATTATTGAAAGTAATTACCATGAAGAGACCAAAACAATAATGTCTGTCCCTTTCTGGCTTTCTGTCTGTGGCTCTCAGCTCCAAGCCCATTGCACCCTATTGAATTCTCAAAATAAACGTAATCTTAAAAATATTCTGGTATGTCAGGCTTTGATATAAAACACATGTCGTGACTGAGCCGTATCGGAAATCCGGTTTGTTCTGCGCCAAATTGATTGATTGATTCTTATACTTTTCAGTGTATATGAAATATTAAATGGCCTTCAAATAGAGAACAAAAAACTATTTAGAAATAATAACTTGATAATATTGGCAAAATATTACAAACTAAATGCCGTTCCCTCAAAATGTCTCTCATATTTATTGAATTATTTCTAACAGAGTACTTTATGAGAAATCTATACAATTTAGCAACATTAAAAAAGCCCTGCAAAATGACCAATATCTATCCACTTGAATGACCACTGTCTATAACGCCCCTCAGTTTCATGTCAGCATATGGGTGAGCATTTCTGATGTTGTAACCTTTTTCATTCAATTAAGTTATTTAAAAAACCAACTCCCCCGATATCATGGATTTTTTTTTTTAGTCTTTTCTGACTTCTATTACATAACAAGTCCAACCAAAGATAACATTATTTTTATTTAAATCCCAGGAAAAACGTGAAGTGCTTCAACATATTTCAGTAAGCATTATGGGAATTAGCAGCATTTTGGCACAGGCGCATAACAAATCGGTTAGTGGCAACATTTTGTTGGTCGGATCATTTCAAACCTTGCTCAGGTACAGGATGATGTACTTACTCTCCACTTTTGAAATTGACTGCGAGGGAACTTTGACGGCTTCTTTCTTGGGTCTCATGGGACACCAGGTTCCGTCCTCCTGGAACTTGATTTCATCCACATCGGAGCAGTCGTTCAGGATCTCCAGGAATAGACTGAATAAAGAAGGCAAGGTTGATGATATTCGCTCTTCTTTTTCTGACTCACCTTTACTCACCGCTGGGTCACCAGACCCCCCTTCCACCAACACACTAACTTCCTTTTCCCCTCTCTCCAAGTGAGGTTCTTACCCTCATTACCTCTGCCCGCCCTACCACCTGTCCTCTGGACCCTATCCCCTCAAACCTCCTTCAGACTATCGCTCCTGATATTCTACCGTTTCTCACCCATTTCATCAACACTTCTCTAACTTCTGGTCACTTTCCAAACAGTCTCAAGGAGGCAAGAGTAAACCCTCTCCTAAAGAAACCCACTCTCAACCCGTCTGATGTTATAAACTACAGGCCTGTCTCTCTCCTCCCGTTCCTGTCTAAATCACTTGAACACGCTGTCTTTAAACAACTCTGCTGTTATCTCCATCAGAACAACCTTCTGGATCCGCACCAGTCTGGTTTCAAGGCAGGTCACTCCACAGAAACTGCTCTCATTGCTATCACGGAGGAACTGCACACTGCCAAAACTGCATCCCTCTCCTCTGTCATCATCCTGTTGGACCTGTCTGCTGCATTCGACACGGTGAATCATCAGATCCTCCTTCGCACTCTCCAAAAACTTGGAGTTTCAGGCTCTGCACTTTCCCTCATCACCTCATACCTCAAAGACCGTACCTACAGGGTGACTTGGAGAGGGTCTGAGTCCGACCCTTGTCAATTAACTACAGGGGTCCCTCAGGGCTCTGTTCTCGGTCCCCTCCTCTTCTCCTTGTACACAAACTCGCTCGGATCTGTCATTAGCCCGCATGGTTTTTCTTACCACTGCGACGCTGAGGACACCCAATTAATTCTGTCCTTTCCCCGCTCAGAGACCCAGGTCGTCGCACGCATCTCTGCTTGTCTAGCTGACATCTCTCAGTGGATGTCTGCTCATCACCTCAAGCTCAACAAGACTGAACTGCTTTTCCTTCCGGGAAAAGATTGTCCCACTCTTGACCTAACAATCAACATCGGCACCTCAGTTGTTTCCCCGACTCAGACTGCAAGGAATCTGGGTGTGACTCTAGATAACAACCTGTCCTTCACTGCAAACATCGCTGCTACAACCCGCTGCTGCAGATACACGCTTTACAACATCAGGAGGATACGTCCCCAGCTGACCCAGAAAGCCACGCAGATTCTGGTCCAGGCTCTCGTCATCTCACGCCTAGACTACTGCAACTCCCTCCTGGCTGGTCTACCTGCATGTGCCATCCGACCTCTGCAGATCATCCAGAATGCAGCGGCTCGTCTGGTCTTCAACCTTCCTAAATTCTCCCACACCACGCCGCTCCTCCGCTCCCTCCACTGGCTTCCGGTAACTGCTAGAATCCACTTCAAGACACTGGTACTTGCTTACCATGCTGCGAATGGATCTGGCCCTTCCTACATCCAGGACATGGTTAAACCGTACACCCCAGCACGTGCACTCCGCTCTGCATCAACCAAACGGCTCGCTGCACCCTCACTGCGAAGGGGACCCAAGTTCCCATCAGCAAGAACACGTGGGTTTGCTATCCTGGCTCCAAGATGGTGGAATGAGCTCCCCATTGACATCAGGACGACAGATAGCTTACACACCTTCCGGCGCAGACTGAAAACTCATCTCTTTCGACTCCACTTCGAGCAATAGAACTATTAACAAAGCACTTATATACTAATAAAGGACTGGCTTATCTAAAGCCAGTTGAGTAGCACTTGAAATGTTTTTGCTCTATGAAACCTGATGTACTTATATGATTCTGTTTTCCTCAAGTTTGTATTTTGTTGGTCGAACGCACTTATTGTACATCGCTTTGGATAAAAGCGTCAGCTAAATGCAATGTAATGTAAAAAGAACAAATCCCTTCAATCACCAGTTTATAGCAGGGGCCACTAACTGGTCAGGTAGACTTCATTGGTGGGTTTCTCAGGTTCTGACACACGACTTTCATGACCTTGAGCCATTTAAGACTTCTACATATCAAGTGAATTTCAATATGCATGAGCATGAGGAATGTCCCAATTGATTACACCGAAATGATAAATGTCAAACCTATTGATCCTTGTGTTAGAAAAAGGGATGTTCCAAGCACGTTCCAATCCTGAACCTTCAATGTTGTGTTTCTCCAATACTTCTTAATGTTGATGCAGACTGTATCGCATATGGAATTACATGTGCAACCCTCTCAATGTGAGAAATCTTTTTTTTTTTACATGCTGCTTAAATCCAAAAACTGAAAGTATATATATTATGGAGAGTGAAACTATGCAGTGACATGCTCGCAGTGTAGAGCCTGGCCGTCACTAAAGACAGTAGCACTGCAACACTAGCGGTTACCTAATATCATATTTCAATGACTTGCATATAGACTCTTATTGCACTATTTCAAACTATTTTTCTTCTTGTATTTACTTGCACTATATTTTTCTGTTTATCTGTGTTTTGTGTTGCTCTGTTGGAGAAGCCTGTGACACATCGACATAACTACACTGTAGTTATGTTCGTTTGACAAATAAAGAACCTTGAACCTTGTATTTTAAACACTAGCCTGCTCAGTGAAATTATTTATTGTAAACATATTTGTACAATTTAGCCTTTAGGAAGCTAACTCCTGCTCTCTGCTGCACTTGCTCAACGCACTCTTACACATGTTAAACTGTCATCTGATTTTGTGTTGTATTTCCACTATCCTCCTTTTAATGCACAATTCTATTGTCAGACCTTTAATCCATTTTTGTTACGTCTTTTCTATGCTATTTTTTGTTTTTATGTAATTTACTGGTAACTGTATTCTATCTTTTATCCATTTTCTGTGAGTTTTTTAAGAGACGTCAACCGTTTACTGTGAAGCACTTTAAACTGCAGTTCTTGTATGAAAGGTGCTATACAAATAAAGATTATTATTACGCCAATTTTTTCCATTTTATGGTGAAGTAGAGATATTAGGAATTGTTCTGCCCAGCTTTAATAACTTGTTTTATCTTTTGTATCACAATCTGAATGTAGAAGCAGCAGGTGTGTGATGTGGTCCAATGAAGGGAACTGACCCGTCGATGATGAGACTCTCGTACGCAGCCTTCTTGTCACACACAGGACAGATCCAGGTGGGTTTCTTCTCATTCATCTGCAGGTACAGGGCCGCGTCAAAGCACTGCAGGTGGGAGCAGGTCACCGCCCGGCACGGCACCGTCAGGCGCATCTTACCCAGCTGGAGGACAAAACACACAGGTCAGTCAGGACACAAGACTTTAGGAAATGCTTGGTTCAATTCATGCCGTTTCCCTTACATGGCATTATCTGTATGTAATGTAACAAGTGGAAAGGTCTACGTAACATTAACACAATGGACATGATGGCAAAATGAATTTAATCTAATAATTTTGTCTTGAAAACCAATATAACTTGACTTCTGAAGAGAGTGCTCATTTATTGGTTTTAGGCGAAGATGCTCTCGAGCCTTTGTGCTTTTTAAATGTGATCATGGTATGTATATTGAATTCTTCAGACTTTGGCACCCCCCAGTGGTATCTCAAATGAGAACTTGTGGCAGAAAGTAATGCATGATTATTCTGTGATCAGATCAATGGCCACAACTGCCGCTGTTTGGTCACTACGGAAATTAGCTCCAACATCGGCCACACTTCCTGGGGGCTTGCCCCTGACAGAGAGTCTGATGGCCACAGGCAGGAAGGACTTCCTGTGGCGCTCTGTGGTGCATCTTGGTGGAATGAGTATTTCACTAAAGGTACTCTTGTTCCTGACTAGTGTCTCAGGGTCAGAATTAAAAACGTGCTATTTAAAAGTCACATTCAACATGGATGCTTCATTTACCGGGCACAGGAGTGAGACTCGAAGGCTCGTTGTAGCAATCTCACTGTCTGGATCTGCTGTCAGCTTCTCTTTAACTGGAACACAGATGGCATGCGAAACAAAATTATTCATTAAAAAAATATATATATACACAATATGCAAAAACCAAAGTCATCCCCAGGGGATGCCAGTCTGGAGGCCCACTCCAGACTGGCATTCAACAAGTTGTGAGAAAGTGCTGCTGAATGGCATGTAGTCTGCCACACTGAAGGGTTTCACTGTGCACTCACTCAGTGCTCTGGAGTGGTCTGGGTTTCTGATGCCCTTCATCCTCAGCCTCTGCAGGAGCAGTGGGGATGTCAGCTGCCTCACCAGGTACACAGACATGGAGTACGTCTGTAAAACATTAAAACAACCTTTACGGAATCTAATGCACTGTTATTGACCCAAAATGTCCAACTCAAGCACAGGGAAATACAGTATAAAGCGTTTTTTCATATTCTCACTTTTCCAATTTCAGGTGCCCATGTCACTGAAATCTGATTGGGTACGGCGGAGGAGAGGCGGACCAGAGAGGTGATGTTGAGAGGTCTTCCCGGTCTCTTCTGTTCCACACCGTTTTTTGGTGGTGGTGCATAACCCTGCGAGAATAAAATGCTTTGTGAGCGTCTTTATGGGGAGGACTTAGGTTGACTTCTGGAGAAGAAGAAAGCACTTACTGGCAGAGGGAAAAGCTTCCCATTGACCTTTATACAAAGACTGTTTGGGTAGTTGTCCTCTTGAGGGCAACTCGTCTCTGATAAGCAAAACCTGAAAACACAACGAAACATTTAAGAGACCGAATCTATATCTGGAAAAAAGCAGACTCCTCGTGAGTTCAAAGTATGATGCAAAACTGGTGTATTGTAGTGTTTTTGAACAAGTGTCTTTCCTACTCATAGTACATGTTTAGTGTGTTTAGTAAACCTGTGATGACACGTTTATAATGGAAGGTTTGGAGTACAGGTGGACAGTTGTGTTTTTGTTAAAGCTGGTGCCATTTTTTACAGAGCAGGGCAGCTTAGGGCGGTGGTGGCGAAGTCCATAGGGACTTGGCTTGGCAACTGGAAGGTCACCAGTTCAAGTCCCGGAAAGACCAAGTGCTACCGAGGTGTCCCTGAGCAAGGCACCGTTTCCCACACTGCTCCCCGGGCGCCGTACATAATGGCAGCCCACTGCTCCTAACACTAGGGTGGGTCAAATGCAGAGAAACCGTTTCGTTACATAGTACCTGTACTACGTAATGACAATAAGTTCAATCTTCTTATGGCTGATATAGATCATCTGATACAAATAGTTTCATAACTGATACACAATAGCGTTGAACCTAAATGTACATTTATTGAATGCAGTTGTCTGTATCGTCTCTCTTTACTTAAGTAGATCTGTATTCTGTCTGCAGTGTGCTTTATTTCTATACAATTACATTTGAAACAAATGTATCATTGTGTCTAAAAGAACCCCCCAGTGGGTTTACTGCAATTACAGCATGTATCGGCAGAAAGTCCTGGTTTCTAAAACATGAATATAAAAATATAATATGAATTTAAAAGAGATTTAATAAATGGTTTGCTCACTTCATTCAAATAAATGTGTATTACTTTCATTTGTTTTTCTTTCCTTTAGATTCAAAGTATTTGAAGATGTTTTATCTACATGTCAGAGACAGTTCTCACCTCAGTTGAATCTGAACCATATAGTCTCGTCTTCCCCCTGGTAGAAAATCCCTGCAAAGAAACAAGGTTTAACAAACTAATCATATTTATTATTTAACACCACAAGTCGCTTTTCATTAAACAGTCCTACCTGGATATGCACACTTCACGAACTTGTTGTGGTGTCAGGGCAAAGATGAAGTATTTCTCTTGGTGGTACCTCTGTGCAGGACCCGCTCCTGGAGACACAAATGGTGACTGACAGTTAGAGTGAATACCATGGCTAATAACACACACATTAGCATCATTAGTGACCTTCATACAGAACAAAAAGTTACCACTTTGGTACCTTTTCGGATGGATCACTGCAGTAATCCCAACTCATCTGCACAATCCCCACACCATGAACTCAAATACTCTCCTTAGAGTGCACTGAAACCCTGCAGCCAACATTGACTATCTGCTTCAATGTTTTCATTTGTGCTGCCTCTCAATGAACTACAGTAGCGGTTCCAAACCGGGGGTACGTGGACCCCTGGGGGTACTGGATGCAGGATTTCCGCCCTGTGTAGCGAGTGTTTTCAGGATCAGCAAATGAAATCCAACACACAGAGTGCATTTTCGACTTCTGATCACTTTGCTGGAGAGAAATATCTCAAAAAACTTCTGAACTTTGTCTGAATTGTTTCTGATGGTTCAGTGTCTAATCTCTATTCTCATGAGTCTTTCCCTCTTCCACAACAAAGGCTAATTGTGTTCACAATTCAATTAAAGTTCTGTACTAGGGACAAAGGCACTTTAGGAACACAGTCAACTCTGGTTAGGCCTTACTACGGAACAATTACAAACTGTACCCTTCCTACTGTTAGCTGGCACTGCCTTCATCAAGTATAAGTCTTGTTAGTCATATAGGATGTTGGTCATGTAAGGGTTAAAATACTCTTAATTGACCAAATAACTCAAACTTTGGGTTGAATTTCATTGAAGTCTACTTCTGATATCAAGGTTCCATATTTTATTTTCTGTCACTACTAGACTACTTATTGCCAAGTCGGATATATCACAAAATGTTCCAGTTTCAAATACGTCTTGGAAGTTGATATGAAAGTTCATCATTATGATTGCACAAATTTGACATGAAAGTGGTATTATCTTTTGATAAGCTATTCCCCAGCTGGTTGTATTTACACAATTGAATATATTAAAAGGTTTTTTTAGTTTGTATAGCCTACTCAGGAACGTTTCTTCATGAAAAACATAATGTTACTTTTTGTAGGTTTTGCACATATTACCAACATAAGTGAAGTACTTCATACTACTAACTACAGTACTTCATACTACTAACTACACCTTCATGGAGCATCTGTATCAGAATTAGGAACGCATGGGTAAAACATAGGCAAATAATGGACATACGCCATGTTTATCCGTTTTGCACGGCCTTGTGACTTAGTGCTGCTGCAGAGGTCTCACTTGCTGTCATTTTTAAATGTATGATGGAAAAAATCTTCAAGCTTAAATATGACATGAATGTGGTATAATCCTGTGGTAAACAATTCCATAGCTGGTTGTATTTACACAATTCAAAACATTTAAATGGTTTTAGTTTGTAAAACCTACTCAGGAAAGTATTGTCATGAAAAATGTTTTGTTGGTATATTATTAGCAACTTCTAGAATAAAACATTTGCATCAGTATATGAGATAATTCAAAAATACCCGCCACAAGTCATGATGGCAGAACCAAGGGTTACATGTCTCACAGTTTAAAGCAAAAAGAAAAGAAAACTCCACAGCGCACCTAGACTCGAAGGCTTGATGAGGATGTCCAGCACATCATAGAAGGGGAGGGGCTTCATTTGCACATCAGGGTGGACGGGGGGGGACGAGAGGTGCCGGCTGCTGGAGGTTCATGCTGCTGTTGGTGTGGTCCCGCGCGGCTGTTTCTCCTGTCGACACGCTGAGGTCTCGGCTGCTACAGGAAGGACTCCTGCTGACAGAAAAGGCAGTTTGGACTGTTTACTTACATCACAGTGAGAGTACGCCTACACGGCCGACCACTACACACAGCATAGGTCCTGATAAACCTGTTGCTGAACCTACCTTACCAGGTGCAATGCTGTTTGTGTCCCTCATGAAACACGCTATGTACACATAGTTCCATGAGAACATCGACAAATTTAAAAAAAACGAAACGCCCTTTAAGATTTTGGGAGTTTTATTAAAAAACAGTCAGTGAGTGGCTGATTTGAAACTACGGTTAGAAAAAGTTACAACCGTTCCCGTTTCTGCCAGAGATAGGAAGTATTCCCCAAGCTTGTGGCTGTATTGACACCCGCCGCCTTAAAGAAGGAGCGTCATTCAGCTGAGAGTGTGACTACAGACGGAGTCCGTCACAGAGTGGGAAGCAGTACGATTGGAATTGGGCCAAAGGGTCTTTGATCCTTGACTTATTCTGGACACAGTGCCTTCATTTTGACTTTCAACCTCTTTTGTCGTGCCAAATAAAGCCCAGAAACACCTGAAGCTGGGACACTCTTGATTCCTCTATAAGTTACACAACTGAAGAAATAGTTAAACCAAGTGCTGAACACTAGTGCTGATAAAGATCTAAACAAGAAGCCACTACACAAGCCAACATCAAGGCCAAACAACACACAATACAAGTCTTGATTACATTGTATGCATGCTTTTCTATGAAAAACCTGTATCTTGAGGAAATCTGGTTTTCAGGCTTTTGTGGCATTCATTAAATAATCATAAGTCTGGGTTCAATCAGGTTTGTTTACTTTAATACATCATTTTATCGGTGACTCCCTGAGGAATACTGTATGTTCTCATTTCAAAAACGGTTTTAAGTCATGTTCAGTTAATTCATATAGAAATGATTAATTCAAGACAATTGATTAACATGAACAAGAGTGTAAGAGAATAGATTTAGTAATTTGCTAACACCATCAATTAAATCTGTGTGCAGTGCACACATTATTATAGTTTCCTATTAAACCCTTTCAGGGTCTACAGGTTTCTTCTTTTCTAAGGTTACATTGTTACATAGGCCTTAAGTACAAAACAACATCTTTATCAGATTAGGTAAATGATTACAAGTAACCCTCCTCCCCCGCTAAATGATTATCAGCATCACTTGTATTTTCATTATCACAGGAACAATACCTACATTAGACAGTGATGTTTAATACGTAGTTCATAAGCAAAACAACTTCCCAGCCTCCTTTAACCAAATTCAATCACGTTATATTACCGAACAAGCAAATAATCAGTCAGTTATCGGCGGAGCAGCTGTTCACTCAGCTTTGTGTTTGCAAAGAGTTGTTTACATCAGAAAATATAGTCTAGACTTAACAGTACAATACAATGAAACTATTAAGTTGTTAAAACGATCAAAGAAAAAACCTAAAGACTTTAAACCAGTATGGCTAAGGTTATATGAAGGTGTTAAAATTAAGATATTTAGACACCAGAGCGTTAACTTTTTGCTAGCTGTTGTATCATCGCGATAATAGCTGCATGTAATCGACTTCGTGAAGGAGGGTTTTAATGACCAATTATGTTGCTTAACAGCGTTATACAACTACTTACAAAGACAACAACACCGCGACCAGACACATTGAAAAATAAAATTCAGCAAGGGTTTCAGTTGAAGTGAAATAACAAGAGACCTATTAGCGTCTCTTAGCATTAAGGCTAACTTCCTAAACGCTAACGACCTGCTCTTAAAAGTGCATATTTCTGCGAAATAATGCCCTATCCTCTGAGCCCGTCAGCTCCGACCGCCATATTTATAACATCATATTATTTTCAAGTTTTTGTAACGTGTTTTAATGTTGACAGACGAAAGTCACAATCAGTGTTTTTCTTTTAGCCTACCCGAAACTCTTTACTCTCCGCCATCTTGTTGTTCCGGTTATCCCGCCCAGAGTGACTACTTCCAGGTGACTCCCTGACGCCACACTTTATAAACACAGCGGGCAGTGGAGCTCCAGTCCGAGGCAGTGGAGCTCCAGTCCGGGGCAGTGGAGCTCCAGTCCGGGGCAGTGGAGCACCAGCCCAGCTTTTTTGCCTTTATTTATTCAAGAACATATACACATTACACATTTTGTATACCACAAAAGTTGAGATCAGGGGAAGATATAAAGACATAAAAAATGACAATCATAAAAGGTAGCTTTTCTTTGAGGAAAATAAGTATTGCCCTACTTCTTTAGGACAAAACAGATCAAATAACCACCTTGGATCATCTGCTAAACACAACATTTGATGATGTATCTTAAAGAATATGATGCATTGTTGTCCAAACAGGAATTATAACTAGCACAATCTTTATAACAAAACAACAATAACACAATGTCAATGTTTCTTTCTTTTTTTACTTGTGTGATCTAATGTTTAATCTGTAATCTGGAGAGAGATTTAAGATTCTCATTGCCAACATTTGCTCCTCTGTATGTGTTAATGAAATAGGCTACTATAGGCTAAGATATATGATACATAAAGAACATAACAATATATTTTCATCTGCTTTTCTTTGAAATTACATAAGATTTAACAGCCTTACAGAAATGTACATTCATACTAATTTGTGGAAAAACTAAATAAGGCCTGATCATGTATTAGAGACATTTTCAGGTATCAAAAGTAAATGTTCTTAAGATTGAAATCTTTCCTGTGTTTTACTAATATGCCAGTCATGTTTATGATTAGTTGTGGCCTATCTTTCAAAAACGAGCTGAATTCAACACAAATTATTCTGTGGTATTTTGATAGATTACATCTCTGGTTGTAGAAGAGAGCAGAATAGCATCAATGTAAAGTATTGCCTCAAATACAAATATGCGGCAAAACTGAACGTTGTGGACAACATTGTTGCACTAAAATTTCAGAGGTGAATATATTTGTGAATGATATTTGGATATAGAGGTTTTTTTTGTGCATTTAATATTGTCTGTTTTCACTGGGGGGAAATTAACACCTATCCTAAAGCCACCAGTGCCACAACCAACAAAGATGGTATAAAAGGTAGAGGCTTCGCACTGCTCTCCAAAACAGATACATCATTGGGTGGTTTTACATTGCATAAAACGTAATAATTCCTGCAATAAGCGTGTACATCCAAAACCTCAACAATGAGAATTAAAAAAAACACAACAAAACAACTTGCAGGAGTTCTGATAAGGAAACTTGACAACACAATGTGTCACAAGATGTCCGCCTGTTATGCAAACGTCTGATTTTCAAAGGTAGAATTTTTGTATATTCAGCTTTTTCGCATTCAGGTGACTTAGATTCTGATGTCCCTTTCTGCACCCTCTGTGGCAGAGGCCTGCAAAACACATGAACACAATACTGTTGGGTCAAAGCTGAATAGTCTACTAAAAACTGAAATTTAAATAATAAACTGTAGTTTAGACAAGCAGATTAGTTTCTGCCTGGTTTACCCAAATAACCAATACTGCAAGTTTTGAGATTATCACATTTAATTTAAAATGTGTTGACTATAAATATTTAATAATTTATTTCTGTAGGCTATACTTATTTATGAATGTAGGCCTATTGATACTCAAGTAGCTTACTTTGTAAGCCTCAGTTCACAAGAGTGAGAAATTGAAGTAACAGTCCGGAAATACCCAGCGATAAGACATCTAGCCATGGGTAACGATAATGGTGTGCTATAGGATTTTATCACTATGAACACATGCCATGAATAGGTATGGGTAACACTTCGATGCTACATAAAATCGTAAAAAATAGAGCAAACTCCAAATTGGCTTTATGTTATCACAGCTGTTGCACATATTTTGGTCCATTTTATGGAATGCACATCTTTGACAATATTCTAAAATCCTAAACAAAATTTAAAAAGTCGTCCTGTAACTTTAAGGTTAAGGTTTTCTTCTCAACTGGGGTTAACTAATGGCTGATATTAAGTTTGTAGTTAATTGATCCCACGCATGTAGCCCAAACATATAGATTAACTTAGGGGCTTCTGTTCAGCCTGTAAGAATCTGATTTTATTTTATAGATGACTTATACACATCCATGATATATTATGGATGTGGAATTGCATCCATTAGTTAACCGGATGGCGATGCTCAGCCGGAGCTCCAGCCCCATATTCGCCGCGCTGTGAATTCTGGGAACACACAGTAGTATCAAGATGGCGGCGAGCAGGAGGCTGGCCAAGGTAAATCTCCCGATCCGTTCTTTTCATATTATTTATTATCTGTAAAAATGCATTTTAGGCCAGTGTACTCATTCATTATTCATCTTAACGAATATGAGATCATGTTGTATGAAGAAACATTAAGAGGCTATTTTTAACTGTTAACTTAATATAAACGAGAGGTCACTACTGTCCACCGTGATGCCGTTAGCCGACCAAATCATATCGCCTAGCAGCAAAGCACCGGCAAAATTAGGCCAGAGATTCGATAGTCAGCCTTCTGAAGACTAACACGGGACACATGTTCTGTTTAAAACCTATCTATAGCTTCCATGTACCTGTTGTTGTGTGACCGTGAATTGAGTTTAGATGTGGCCGACAGAGAGCGTGAGTGGATTTGCTCGGCATAAGGCGCTTGCTAATCAGCTAACGGGCTAGCCTCAGATCTGAGCTGCGTTTCAGCTAACGCTAGCTAGCAAGCGAGTTTTAGCTACACTCAAGTTAGCCGGGTTTGGATTGGCGGGGATTAATTTAAAGTACATTCACAGCTCCCATTTTTTCATTGCTGTTATATGCAAGCACGAGGCGGTAGTTCTTTGTAAGGATATGATCTCCCGGTACCCAGACAATGAGGTAACGAGGCTGTACAGGAGCTACACACAACAACATGGAGCCTTAAAGCTAGCTAGCAGAACAGAACAAGGAAATAGGCCCAAAACAGACAGAGGCTTTACCTTATTTCACATCATTATACAGCAGGTCAAAATTAACCTTTTGCTAAGATCTTAACGTAGTAACAAAACTAAATTGATTAAAAAAACAAATGTGGATTCAGCAGGATCTGTCAGACCCGGCTAAGTAGACGACAGTGATTGACGATCATGCTCAAGGCCTACAAGGCGTATCTTTGTTCTATATGAAATATGAAGACCTGTATGTTAGACAACATACTGTGTTAACCCACTTCATACTTCTCACCATATTTTAAGATTCTCAAAAAAGCCCCTTAATAGTCCCACTCAGCACCGGTGTCTTTATGCGATAGGGAGGACAGCACACTACACTTATAATAAAATAGCACTGCAATAAACTAAATTTAAATGTGAATCAATTACATATGATATAGTTAACTAACTACAACATCTAAATAGGTGAAGTATAGTGTTGGTGTGTTTGTTGTAGCTTTTGCATTTAAAAAAAAAAAAATGAATATGGGTACAATTTAACAGAGAAAAAAAACAAAACCGTTCCGTTATTGAGAATCAGTTTGTCATAATCAATCTTCTGACATGAATGACACCATATTTAGAGATCATTTAATTTAGGAGTTTTCTTCTTTAATGTCCACTTTCTGATCAGTGCCATGAGGCAGATTTAAGGCGGACTCACGGATAATACAATCTCATCAGTTCCATTCCCAATTCTGCATGCAGCCTCACGAGCCAGTAAAAGTCACTAGTGCAGCAAAAGCTATGGCATCACTCTTGGGCTTTTTCCCTGTGAGCAAAATTCTTCCAAGTCCAGCTGCACTATCTACTATCAGTTATTGAACCACAGAACTCTGAGGAAGTGGGCAACAGCCTGCACTTCCCACCGCCTCCTTCTCTTATGCAACTTTTTTAATGTTTATATATGTTTGCTGTCACTAAAATAATGCATTAAGTATGGTAAGACCTTCAGAGATCCCAAAGCAATTCATATTTAATTCCCAGGTACAGAATTTGACATTTCTAAACTCACCTCTAATATTTATTGTTTGCTTGTTTTCTCAGGAACTTGAAGAGATTCGCAGGTCTGGAATGAAAAACTTCCGAAACATTCAAGTTGAGGAATCAAACCTATTGTCATGGCAAGGGCTCATTGTTCCTGTAAGTATATTTACCTTTTTAGTTTTATTTTATTTTTTGAGATATTCATGTTTGTTTATTTTCTACTCTTTTTACTTTCCAAATGAGGTGTAATAACTTTGCTTTAACATGCTGTTGTAAAGAAAAAAATATCCCAATTTGGGATTAATAAAGTATATATCTAATCTGTATTTACCCTTCTTAATGACTGCTCTGCCATCTGCTGGCCCACACTTCCTCTCACTGACCTCTTCTGTTCCCTTACAGGACAACCCTCCTTATGACAAAGGTGCGTTCAGAATCGAAATAATTTTCCCCACCGAGTACCCTTTCAAGCCTCCCAAGATCACATTCAAGACAAAGATCTACCACCCCAACATTGATGAGAAGGGCCAGGTGTGCTTGCCTGTGATCAGTGCAGAGAACTGGAAGCCTGCCACCAAAACTGACCAAGGTGGGTGTACAGAGGAGCACTGCATGTGAACTGACGCTACCTAATCACAGTTTGTCTTAAATCTTTATCATCATTACGCTGCCTGGTTTTAGTGCCAATCCTCAAACAAAACACCTTCAGTACATTACTGTATGAAGTCAAATGAACAGAAACAGAACACAATCGTCGTTTCATTCATATGAAACCCCGTCGGCGGGGACCCTGTTTTTTTCTTTCACGACACTGTGTCTCAGGGGATCTTAATACTTAAGAACCTATTAATGTGTTATACCAGATTAACGGAAATAATCTCAGCTAACTGACGATACAAACCATGTTTACCAAAACAAAACACAAGTCTCATAAGAAGCATCTAAATGACCCCTTAGCGAAAAATGCTAACGGACATTGGCACAGATCTCAAGATAAAAGTACCCTTATTACTTATCGTAGCTACACATACAAGATATCCGATTAAAGCTGAGATTCCACAGATTATTGAGGTATATAGTATCATCACTGAGTGATCCGGACTCGCGACGCAAAGCAAACACAGACATCACAACACGTACCTTTACGGAGCTTCTAGGGAGATCGTCTCACCGTAGCTGTCAATCTGATCAAAAGACGTGTTCAATGGCATTAAAACGAGAAAAAACGCGGCTGAATCGGTTAATCCATAGGTTTTTAACGTCTCTGTATAAAAAGATTATTTCATTTATAATCCATAATTCCATTTTTATGTAAAAATCGGAGAGCAAAAGTTAGCTGCTAATGGTAGCCACCAGAGTGGCTGCTGCTTCCGGTCTAGGCTATGCGGTCGTCTCACACACACACATTACCACATAAGGAGTATGTGGGAGTTCCCCTCGATTCTATTGGCTCTGATGGTTAGAAAGATATGTCACATGTCAAAATCCAGCAAGGGGGGCCAGAGATATGGAAAATCCACCCAAATGGCCCCAGAAGAGTTTTTTTTTGCTAAATCTCTTTAAAAAGGTCAAATATCACTTGTTTTGCATCAATCTTGATACAGGATATTTATTATGTTGTACTTTGGATTCCTAAAGCTTTTAGTCTACTAATCCATCATCCAAGGTTAGTTTTCACTATAAGTACAAAATATGTTTTGGACGGACACAATAATTTACAGTTTTTTACCATGTTCAATCTGAATTTTCTTTAAAATAAAAAACCTCTATATTGAATCTGACTTTTCTACATCCAATTCACAGGTTTATCATTACTTTGAGAAAAAAGATGATTAATTTAACCCTTTTTAGAAGGGAGGATATGGACATTTGTTCTGGGAATGTCATTTTCGAGCCTGAAAAACAGGCTCGGGGTTTAACAGGTTAAACATGCAGGGTTTTTATGCGGTGAAATTGCGGGAAGTTGAGAAATATGCTATAAAAAATATATATATTGGGCTGTCTTATTTATTCTCTCTCACACACAACCTGCCACTAACGTTAAACCCCTTTACTATTCAATAGTTTCCCCCCACTTTCGTGCAAGACATCGGGGTACTGCTTTGCCCGTTCTTTAGCAGAAATGTTCGTCGGTAAATGAGATGGATTAGATTTTTTCATCTTGGTGTTTTCTCTCTCGTGTAAGTTCCACACGTTCACTCTACGGTGTTGTTTACCTTCTGTGATGCGCGAGCTGATGACGTTACGTCATCATCACTTCACGTTAGTGTTAATTTCGTTGACTAAAACTATGACGAAATATGTTCGTCAACGACATTTTTTTCCATGACGAAAACAAGACGATGACGAGACGGCACCGACGGCAGTAAACAATAACTGTAACGAAATCATCATGCAATATCGTTGACAAAAAGTGACGAGACGAAAATGTAGTTCACTAAATAAAAACTATGCCAAAATCTCTCTTTACTTTCGTTGACAAAAAATGAGGAGACGAAATATTATCAAAGATAACGTTACATCTCTGATAGTCAGTTTTTCTCCCAGCAGTTCCATTTCCGGGGCTGCGGCTGGGCAGCAGCTGTGTGTCTGCGGTGCGCGCGGCGGTAGATTTGAATTACAGCGGCAAAATATGAACTGTCAGGAAGACTCGGGTCTAACTCATGGTCTAACTAACCTTAGTTAACAGAAAATGAAATGGCAACAGGGCTTGGGAGCAGTGGTCGCACTCGCGTTAACCGAATACCCCCCCGTCGGCGCGAGTGAGTGATAAATTGTGCACTCGACGGATAATAATGGATTATGACGGAAATGTTACGATCCTGTCCGTCAAAATGACTGACAACGAAAAAGTCTAAAGCCACCATTGCTTGGGAGAAAGAAACTATGTGATATTTGGGCCCATTTTAGCTACAATGAGGCGGAGAAAAAAAGCGAATGCATTGTTTTATCAGAAGGGAAGCAATGTGGCCATAACACAGCTGGTAAAAACACCACAAACCTGAGCAGATACTCTCTGCAAAGCTGCATTCTTAATCATTCAACCTGTGTTTTTCATCAAATAAGGACAAGATATAATCTTATTTATTTATATATACTAAAATGACAAATTATTGGTTTTGGCTAGACTAGTTTGACTGAAATGTTCTATATAATCTGATGACTAAAAAAGACTCAACAGTTTTCATTGACAAAAAGTAGACTAAAATAATTAGTTTTCTTTGACTAAAATAAGACTAAAATGCTCAGACTTTTAGTCGACTAAATCTTGACTAAATAAAAACAGGATGAAGGTGACTAAATGACTAAAACTAAAAAGGAAATTTAACACAGGACTAAGACTAAAACTAAATAAAAAAATAGTTGACGAAATTAACACCCCTTCACGTCAAGACGAGTTAAGTTTTTTTTCTTTCAACTTTGTGTGGAAAAATGCGGGGATTATGCGGCCTTTTAATAAATATGCGCCCTTTTGCAGATTATGCGGTAATTTATCCGTTTTTCTGGAGGGTCTAACACCTAATTCTTTATCAATATTCTTATATTGTTACGTTTTTCATAATAAATTATTTGAAAAAATAGTTAATGCAGAGCAGGATAATTAATTTTCAAGTTCAATAAAACTAAATGTTATTGCTAGAGCATCAAGAGTTGTTTTGTCACATATAAATTATATCTCACTTAAAACAAATGTAATATGTCCATTAAATGAATAATATAACTGACATCACCATATTGACTGATGTAAGATTAGAAAGAAAGTTCACAAGAAAAATAAAGTGCACAGGTGCTGGAGGCTTGAGCCCAACGTCTTAACGTTAAAGCTTAATATCCAAAAGTAAATAAGAAGTTTTAAACTTTGATTTTAATGATTGGTTGCTAAGTCTGGCAATCAATCAGAATGAGAAATCCTTTATTGGCCAGCAGCAGGAACATTTACAGTGTTCCAGCACTAAACAAGAAAGACATTTGAAATGTTCATACAGATGAAAAAAACGTGAAGGTTACATTTCTTCTTCTTTTTTTACTCATATCCTGTGTCTAGTCTAACAAAAAATTGACGTTAATGATTGTAACGTTTTTTAAATATTTACATTAAACATTTAAATCTGGGATTTAAAAATGAGAAGATGTTTACAAAAAACAAACTCCACTAAAGATTTAGTTTGAGTATTATTATAAATATATATTTTTTTGTTTGAAAAAAATGCTTATTCTAAACTACAGTTAGAAAAGTCCGAAAGGAGTTTGCCCCATATCTTGCTGCTTTTTTTTACACCCTCCACCTTCAGTTTGGAATTGTGACCGAAAGTTGAGAAGTGACATGAAATGACAGGAAGTTCCAAGACAAAAGCTCCCGATAAGGTCTACACTCAATGCTCTGATTATCATTTTCAAAGCGTTGGCGCTTGGCAGAATTACTCCCTTGATTTAAAAAAATTAAATGTTGTAGGGAAGTACCGAGTGAGATTTAGTGTGCAGTACACCAATGTTTTGTATTCCCCCTGTGTGCAGGGAAACAAAAACATTTAATTTATATTTTATATATACAATTTGAGACACAACGGGTAGCTTGTGGATTTACTCCAGGTGGAACTCAAGTCTGATTTAATACTCGATTATATTTCACATCATTCATCCACATCTGTAAAGTAACTGAAGGTAATACATACATGTAGTGGAAGAAAAACCATTTACCTCTGAACTGTAGTGGAGTAGAAGTACAAAGTAGCAAAACAATGTAAAGTACAAGTACCTCAAAATGATACTTAAGTACAGTACCACTGTACCGTAGTGTTGTTGGGAAAAGCACTGTACGTTTATTTTTTTTTAACTTTATTGAACAAATCTTCCAACACATTATAAAAGGGCACATACAAATCGGTGTTCATTACAATAATGAAACACTGAGGGCATAGCACTGTACGACTCTAAGCTGCTGTCCTGGGCTGTGTGTCTTTCAGTGATTCAGTCCCTCATCGCGCTGGTGAACGACCCCCAGCCGGAGCATCCTCTAAGGGCGGACCTAGCAGAAGAATACTCAAAGGACCGGAAAAAATTCTTGAAGAACGCCGAAGAGTTTACAAAGAAACACGGAGAAAAGCGGCCAATGGACTGATGACCTGACGAGCGTGTAGCCCTCTCTCTGTCTCCTCTTTCTCCCCCCCTCCTCCTATCTCACCTGCCCAACCAAACACAGATCTTCCTCTCACCTCCCTGCTCTCTCTCCCTCACCCCCCCCCCCCCCCCCCCTCCCCTTTCCCTCACCGGTCCTCCCTGCAGTCCAGGAGCTGCCCAGCAGTGGCAGCCTCACCGCCCCCCTCCATCCAGGACTCTCTGTGGATCAGACAGCCTCCTCCCCTCCCTCCTCGGCCATAACTCTCCAGACCATTTCTAACTTTTGACTCTTTTCTTAATGGGAAAAAATATCTAAGGGAACATGAAGTTCAGATGAAGAGTTAGATGGCGATACGGAGTAATTTGTTAAAGTTTGCTTTTCCTCTATATAAACAACTCCTGTGTTAAATAGATGATCACTTAGATGCGATTTTTCTGAAGTATCTTATTTTTGGTAAAACAGGTTGATTACTTGTCCTCTTTTTCTTTTGCCCCACGATTGATAATATTTTAGGCTTAAAACACAAAGGTGACAGACAGAAGAGAAGCTGTAGCTAGGATGTTCAAGGTGTTCCCTTACTCACCTCCACTGCTTCTAGACTTGCACTGTACTCTACGGGACAATCCCTCACCACCACACCCCCAACAAACAGTGGCAGGCCATACATTCATTGATCTGTTATAGCTGAAAGTGCTACAGAAGATACCTGTGTGTTGAAGAAACATCATTGGTTTCCAAACCTGCAGTTATCTTCTATCCCCACATTGGACAGGAAACACAGGAGAGAGGCACCATGCTGTTAAAACGCTTAACAGCCAGACCAATGGCTATTGTTCTTTTCTTTCCCATATTCATCATTCTTTCTCCCCTCTAAATTGTTTTGATTGGCACATGATATTTAAAATTTGTAACGTGGGAAGGTTGTTAATTTGAATCTTTCTCACATATATCCCCCAATATAACCCCCCTGTCACCTTTTCCATACGGCAACCAACATACAGTCAGCTGCCCTGCTGTGAAGGACATCACTTATCTGGGGGGGGGTGGAGGAGCTGGAGGAGGATGCACTCGGCTGGAATGAAGCTCAGCTCCTGGTGGCAGTCCTAGTATCGGGCAGCTGGGAGAGGGCTGGCTGCCAGGGGGGGGGGGGGGGGGGGGTGGGACACAGGAAGGGACTGCAGTGGCCCAAACACCACCATGTAACAGCTGTTTGATCTGCTCCCAATATTGTTTCATAATAAAGATGGCTAACCATTTGGCCTCACTGTCTGTCTGCTCGTCCGCTGGATGTTCCTTTTTGGCTTTCAAGTCAGTCAACTTTATCGTACATTTCTGAGTGTTTCAAACAGGGTGACCAAAATGCTGTTTCTCACCATCACAAAAATGCAAATATATACACATACACACTTAAATAGCACACACATTTGACATGTCTGGTAAACTTTAATGGATGAATATATTACAACAGTACAAATGTATACAGTCCTAGACAGAGGAGCAAAACTCCTCCAGACTATACAGGATTTCATTTTCAATTCACAAAAACAGGTTCAGCTTCTCCTGAGTTTGTCGCCTGCTGGCTCTTACCTTTGGAATACAAGAAGCCATTAGACATTGAGATACAAGTACATTCAGTCAGATACTTTCCACCTTGTCTAGTTCCCAGCATTATCATAAAAATAATCATACAAATCTGAGTGTTCAATTAAACTGAATATGACTATTTCCATTAACCATCAAATAATGGAGTTATCAATTACCAGTTTGATGTAAAACAATGTTATCTGTTATAACAATATAAAAGTAATGTAATCTGATTACTTTCCGTTACTTTAGGATACCTCAATATCAAATGCTAAGCAAATCAATAAAGGAGAAAATAAGATGTTTCATAAGACAACAGGACAATCTTAAAGGTGGGGTAGGTAATTTTGGAGAAACCAGCTCGAGATCGCTAGAATTTGAAAATACACAACCGGAAAAAATCTGCCACTTCCTTACGGAGCCCCTCCTCCAACACACACGAACGCGCACATGACCAATGAGGGCACGAGACCGGCTGGTCCTGTGGCTCGTCTTTTCTTTGTAACTAGCTGATGCACAATCTCATCCTCTTCTTCAAAGTCACTGTCAGACTCAGAATTCTCAGAAATGTGATCCTCACATTCTGAAACCTCTTCCTCTACATCATCATCAAATGGTTCACTCTCTTCCAAAATCATTTGCAAGGCCCTCTGAGCAGAGAATCTTTTGGCCATCTTGATCAGTTGTGATAAGGACCCAAACTGGCGTAGCTTTATTTATTGTGTCTCGCCCCAAATTTGCAGCTTGGATAGAGTATGAAAAAAATAAAGATTGGTTCCCGCAAAACCTAATGAATGTGTGGAATGTGAGAGCAGACAGGTGTCCGTGCTTGAATTATGCCCAAATTTCAGATATTACGTCGTATTGGCAGCAAATCTGGATCAGCTCCGTTGTTCCCCCGTTTTTAGAGATGAGGGTACGGAGGAAAAGAGAGAGGGTTTTGTTTTCTGACACTTTGTGAGTTCCCTGACACACCGGGGACACATATTCATGTATAAAAGACAACAAAAAGTGCATTTTGCATAATAGGGGACCTTTAAAGAACTGCTAGCTGAATCTGAACACCATTGTGTGGAAATGCTTGTGCTGCCTTCAGGTGCTGTTGGATATTTAATCATACAATGAAGCAGGAACTGAAATGTTGTAACCCCTCCACCACAAGCCCCCAGGAAGTGCGCCGGACTCTCTGAGGAAAATATTTGTTATGGCCAAACGGCGGTACTACACTTCCCTATCAGTCCCTGGGCCCGGAAACACTTTTTCCCATTCACTAACGGGAAAGAGACGTCTGTAAATCGTTGGATACTAAATAAACTACCCAGTATGAACGTTTGTATAGCCCTTATTAAAACCATTCGGTCCTCAAGTTGTAAAATGTGCTAATAACGTTATTCTGAAATTATTTTCCGCAGCATTATGAACGCGCATCCAACCCACGGGACCGTGCCGCCCGTTACGTTCATGTTACGTGTTCAGTACATGAGTTTTACCTTTACCCATGGATGCACAATAAGAACGGATTATATGATTATAGTGGCGAAGTCCATCCCCTTCCGGGGGACCTCCATGGGACCTTATTTCTGAAAAATTATGTATTGAAGTCAATGGAGAGAGAAAGATTATCTTTCGATCCCGTTTGAATTGTTCCACGAATTACACATATGATGTTTGTCAATTTAAAAGATAATTTTGCAAGTCAAAAAAATAAATAAAAATGTGTCGTAAAACTGTGAAGTAACACATCTGTTTGTGTGAAACGCTCAATGAACTACATCTCCGTTCTAGCAGAACAACACACGTCACCAAGATGGCCGTCACTACTGTCTTGTCAACAAAACGATTGACTACCCTCACTATCACCCCAATGAAACACGTCCAGACAGGGCCGTTTCTAGCTTTTTGGGGGCCCTATGCAAGATGCTGTTTGGGGGCCCTAGTTTTTACAGTTTTTTTTAACTACAATGGGGGGGATTCCGGAGCCTTTAAGATGATCTGTGGAGATGCATCAATCTGTTACACTTTAATAGGAAAACAGGCTAATTTCACGAAAACCAAGCAATTTCATATTACAAAAAATGATATTAAAAAGGTAAACAATAAGGCTCCTCTATGTCAATAAATGCAAGAGATGCAGCATTTTCTCAACAATGTTTAATTTACATTTTTCATCTTCCTCAGACGTCACTCATTGGCTGACAGACCAACAATGATTTGGACTTTATTACCCCAAAAACACAAGCCACAGCTTTGCTATCATTGCAGTTTAGTCGTATTTATATCCTACATTGGATGTGTAAGCATATAATGCTTCACCGAACACAGGAGGGGGCTTGGCTGTCTACAAATAAAGATGGCTCATTTTAATTCTCCCCAAATATATTGAGGTTGAACCTGAACTTTGAATTCTCTGCTCCCACCATAATCTTGGCGATCTTGTTAAAATTGTGAATGCAGAATTAGAAATACTATGTAACTGGTTTGCAGTTAATAAATTATCCCTTAATGTGGCCAAAACAAATGACATGTTATTCAATACAAAGTCTGAGAGTAGAAATGACTGCATTATACGGATTTGCAATACCGAGATGGAAAAAGTTTGTGCATGTACATTTTTAGGACTGCTTGTTGACGAAAAACTCAATTGGAAGCACCATATAAATTATGTACAGACTAAACTGTCAAAAACAATAGGTATTTTGTATCATACTAACATTCTTGAAGAAAAATACTCTTTATAACAGTCTATTTCTCCCTTACCTTTACTACTGCTCCGAAATATGGGGAAACACGTACTCAACAAATCTACAAAAAATAATAACATCCCAAAATAAAGTATTACGAATAGTCTGTGATGTTGGTAAATATGAACACACAACTCCCATATCTAAAAAAACCTCAATATATTCAAATGTGTTGACATAGTACAGCTTAAAACAGTACTGATTATGCACAACATTTTCCATAACAAAATGCCTAATAACATTCAAAAGCAGTTCCAAACCACAGCGTGAACATATGAATGTAAAAAAAGTCACTTGAAAATAAGTGTTCACAATGTTTATATGCAATTATGCATATATTGTTATTATTATCATTTTTCATTTGCCAAGTACATGTGTACCTATGTATATATTTATATATAGTATTTGATTTTCCAAAATAAGATAGTTGAAACTGCTATTGACATGTGCAGAAAATGACCCTATATCTAGTTTTCATTTATTGTTTTCCTGCCCTAACTTTTATTAAATTGTTTCTCCTGTTTTCTTTATACTCCTTAATTTCTATACGTTTTTGACGCAATAATGCCGCTGTATTAGGATGATGCACGGGAGGGCTACTTTCCACAAGCTATGCTTCAGCCCTCCCGCTTCTACTAATTTTGTTCATCTTTGTGTGTATGAATTAAACTTTTTTTGTTTTTCGGATGAAAACAACTTTCAGCTTGGGGGCCCCCTAGTTGCCGCAGGGGCCCCCGCATAGTCCGCATATAGGAAGAAACGGCCCTGCGTCCAGAAGAATGTCATGCAAAGCTGCCTGCCTGCCTTCCTTTGATTCTCTCTGAACTGCCTGGTCTTTTTCATATTTAATGTCAACCATTTGTGCAGATAGCGTGAAGTAGAAAAGATCGCAGATGCTAATGTAGCGTTAGCATTTCTCCCCGGGCTTAAATTGTGTATTATAGAATGATCACACCGGTGACAGTACTCTTCAAAGGGTTCGCGAAATATGACTACTACTCTTACTGTTTAACATGTTGAGTAACTTAATGTTACTTCATGTTAAGGCTAATAAAAATGACACGGCTAAGGCTGTAATGCTAACTAACGTGCTAGCTACTAGCTAGGTAGCTAACTTTAGTGATGGCAGTTTGACACTGAAGCTTCGAACGGAGCTTCAACATGGATGTATAATAAGAACTTATAGAGCTTCAACCCTGGACTTCCTATTCCATAGAAGCAGTGCGCTTCGAAGCAGTGTTGCCAACTCCATAGTAAGGAAAGTAGCTATTGGCTGTCCGAAAAGTCGCCAGAAGTCGCTAAATGACGTCATCGCCTAATTTGCATATCATGTAATGGCGGCTGTAGGCAAAAAACGTTCCCAACCCTTCAAGGATCAAAACTTGAAACCACCGGAGTTAAATCCAGACGACAGTAGATCAGAAATGTCTTTTGAGTATGTTTTGGGGTTTTAACATGACAGTTTGGCATATCAATCCCCCTTACAATAAAGGCAGTATGCCCGTGTGTCATCTCCAATAAATGGCTTCAACCATCCTTTATACTCAGGGTTTGATTCCCACTCCTTTCTGTATTTTTGAGAATACAATTTAGACTGTGCCATGATGTTTAGCTTGTCACAGAGAGGCACACACACAGTGGACGAGGTGATTGAGTGACTGAGGCTGTGTGAGGCAAAGCAAAGGCAGTTATTTATTATAGTGTGAAAGTGAGTGAAGAAACATTTACATTCAACATTTAAATCCCGCTCAAAACCAGGACGGCTTGGCAGTTGGCGCATGCGCAATTCATTTGCAGTCTCGACGCGGGGGAGTGTGGTTGTCTCCTCTCTGCTCTGACTGCAGCAGCAGCTCTGCTGCTATGGCGTTATATGTGTGCCTCTATCCTGAGCACGCAATGAAACATGTTGAGCATAGAAAATGCTATTGAGCGC